GGAGGGAGGGGCGAGGGGTGGAGCGGGACGGTGCGCGGCAGCGCCCTCAGGTCGCCTCCCGTACCGCTGTGCGCTGCCGCCGCCCGGAGCAAGTAAGTGGGGTGTGGGTGGTGGGGGCCGGACGGGGCCGCTCTCCGTCCCGGGGGTCAGGGGCCGCGGCCGCCGCCCCTGGGTCCGCCCTGGGCCCCAGCGGGTCCTCCTCCATCGCGCGGTCTCTCTGCCTTTCCTAGTGCCGCCCTACACCCTCGTCTACTTTCCCATCCGAGGTGCGTTCCCAGGCCTTCCGGAGGACAAAGGGCGCACGCCGCTCCCGGCTCCTGCCTCCCAGAGACCCGGCTGGAGCCAGAGGGGAGGGCTGCGGGACGGGGCCGTGCGTATGGGGGCGGGGCCGTGCGTGTGGAGGCGGGGCCATGTGCGCGGGGCGGGGCCGCGGTCCTGGGAGGGACCTAAGGGGGTCCGGGCCTCTATCCCTCTCTTTCCCTTTCCCTCTCTTCCGCGGGAGGCTCCCACGCTAGGGTCTCTCTGCCCATCCGGTGTGTAGGTTCCTTCCCCACCCTCTCGACCTCCAGATTGTCTTGCGGCTGAATCTCTGCCCTGTCTCACCAACCCAGGGCGCTGCGAGCCCATGCGCATGCTGCTAGCTGACCAGGGCCAGACCTGGAAGGAGGAGGTGGTGACCCGCGAAGACTGGAGGCAGGGCACAGTCAAGGCCTCCTGCGTGAGTGAGCCCACTTGGTGGGTGGGGGAGGGGCTGGCCTTAGGGGGCTGTGACTAATGGGGGAGGGGTGTCTCAGTACCCTTCACAGACCATACTCTTCCCCCCATCTAGCTTTTCGGACAGCTCCCCAAGTTCCAGGATGGAGACCTCACCCTGTACCAGTCCAATGCCATCCTGCGGCACCTGGCCCGCACCTTTGGTGAGTTCTAAAGCTCAGTGTCCCAGGCTAGAAAGACTCCTGCCAAGTGCTAGGCAGAATGTCCTGGCACCTCAGCTGCTGCCCCTGCTATCTCTAATGTCCCACCTGGCTGGAGATCAGGCCAGATGTCCTGAAGGAAGGTTGAGGATCTGGGTTCTAGAAGGCCCTAGGTGTGGCTCTGAGCTGCCATCCAGGCAAGCAGGAGCTGTGCAGTTCAATGAATTTTTTTTCTGTACCCATTCCTTTGATGACAGCTCACGCAGGGTCACCAACCCTCATGTGTGGTAGCACAGCGGGGGTAGGGGCTTCCCAGTCAGCCTCTGGGCCCATTGCTTTCAGAGGTGCAGAAACCCTACTTCCAGGAACATCACTGCTCTTGTCTATCTGGATTAGGGAGGTGGTAGGGAGAAAAGCCGGTGTCCCAGGGGTCTGTGACAGCCAAGGTGAGGGAAGAGGAGCAAGGGGAACAACAGCCCAGGCTTGCCCCAATTTCCGCAGGACCCAGGTGGAGGCCTGGTGCTTCCTCTTCTGCCCCACGCTGTTTTGAAGTACATACGGACACAGACTCCACATCCAAGTCTAGCCTCAGCTAGCCTCAGGCCTAGGCAGACCCACACCAGAGCCTCGGGCCTCTCTTGTCAACAGGTGTGGGCTGCGGCTGGGTATGGCCTTGTGGCTTTCAGACTTCTCACCCATGAGGGTGGGCAGAGAAGGCTATCCAAAGCAGAGGACCGGAGCGGGGTCCTGTAGGCTCAGGCTAAGGCCGCTGGGCTTTGAGGGGAGAGGATGGGAACTGACCCACTGTCTGATTGCTGACCCAGGGCTCTATGGCAAAGATCAGCGAGAGGCAGCACTGCTAGACATGGTGAATGACGGAATGGAGGACATCACCAACCGCTTTGTCCAACTCCTCCACAATAACCCTGTGAGCAGGGGCTGCAGGCTGCTGCTGGAGGGCAGGGTGGGCAGGAAGGTCCCCTTGGTCAGTCTGGCTGATCAGACTTCCGTTCACAGGAGGAGGGCAAGGCCCAATATTTGAAGGAGCTTCCTGGGTACCTGAAGCCTTTTGAAACTCTGCTGGCCCAGAACCAGGGGGGCCAGGCTTTCATCGTGGGAGATCAGGTCAGTACAGGGTCTGGCGCCTTCCAGAACTTTGTAGGGACATTTTTCAGAAGGGCAGCTGGAGGCCCAATGGGGGCCAGGTCTTTACACCACAGGCAGAACCAGGGAGTAGCCAGTGTTCGGCTCTGGTGCCTCTGTCCTGCCCTGCCTTAATCCTCCTCTTGCCCCTGCCCTGCAGATCTCCTTCGCAGACTACCGCCTGCTGAGCCTGCTGCTGAACTTCCAGGTCTTGGCTCCTGGCTGCCTGGATGATTTCCCCTTGCTCTCGGCTTACGCCGTACGCCTCAGCGGCCGGCCGAAGCTCAAGGCCTTCCTGGCTTCTCCTGAGCACATCAATCGCCCTATCTCTACATTCCTCAAGAAGTGAGCCTGTGTGGTGCCTGCCCTCCATCTGGGGACTTGCCACCCTTGGGGACCGAAAAAAAACACTGACGTGTATTTGTTTGTTTACTGTGCTGGTACTTGGGCTTGAACTCAGGACCTGGGTACTGTCCCACAGCCACGGTGGTTTCAGACAGTTGCTACCTAGTGTGGCGATGTCCTTGGGTACAGGGTCAGGGCAGTGTCTGCACACTCACCTGTGGCACACACACTTGGGGGTTTGATGGCGCCTCCCTGTTGTCTGTTCTCATACTTTGCATGGCCAAGGACCTTAGGATACCCCAGCCCATGGGGCAGCAGGGTCCAGGTATGAGGGTCAAAGGTAGGCCTGGAATTCTGGGTGCCTTCTGCTGCTCAAGGACTGAAACTGAGGGGCTCCCTCCCCTCCAGAGAGCCTGCATGAATTCGAGTTGGGCTCATTCCCAAGGGCCTCCAGCCTCCAGCCCAGCCCTAGCTCTGGCCTCTCACTCCTGAACCACGATTGCCATTTCTTGCTGGAGTCCCTGAGCCAGCCTGGCACCTACCAGGGGCTCAGGCCAGGCTAGAAAGCCCATCATCAAAACTAGGCACTTCTGCCTTACACCTGTAATCCCAGCTACTCAGGAGGCTGAGATCTGAGGATCAAGGTTCAAAGCCAGCCCAGGAAGCAAAGTCCGGGAAACTCCTATCTCCAATTAATCACCAAAAAGTCAGAAGTAGAAACCGGGCACCAGAGGCTTATGTCTGTAATCTTAGCTTCTCAGGAGGCTGAGATCTGAAGACTGGTCTCCTTAAGGAGGAATAGACTTGCTCCTCCAGATAGAATTTATGAGGGGGAGTTGGAGGCATGGATCAGGTGATTAGAGCAACAGCCAATGAATGAAAGCATCAGATACTGAGTTTGAGTCTCAGTCTGGGACCAAAACCAAATGGGGGAGGGGGCAACAAGGCAGACACATCACTCTGGATCCATGTGAGCTATTGCTCCTCCTCCCTGTCTCTAGACCCCTCCCTCATTCAGAGCCCCATCCAGGGGGAAAGATCGGTAAAGACGGCCCTCACTTCTGCCGTGTCTGTGATTGGGCGCTGCCTTAAAAGTGTGCCGATGGTGCTGATGGTGTGCCGATGGTAGCCCAAGGCCTCCAGAACTCCAAGGTTCAGGGCGATACCTTTGCACCTTCACTTAGCTCTAGACCACTCCTGTGGACAGATAGCATTGCATCTCCACAGTTTGAAGCAGTTTTATTTTTTTCCCCTGCTATTTCAAAAATAGTGTAACCACAACCTTTCGGTTGGAAGTCCAGCCAAAGCAACAGTTGCACACACAACTGGGCTAGCTGCCCAGCTCCAGTCTGGCAAGATCTTGGGTACACTTCCCCTACTTCCTTCCCCTCCTGTGCCAGACTCTGCCCTTCAGACACAGGACAGGCATGTGACTCAAAGCCAGCCAATCACAGAGCCTCAGCTCTGGCTACAGAGATTGGTGCAAATGGTAACCATATGAATGGAGCTGGGCCAATCAGAGTCTATCCTGGACTCATTCCAAAATCTGGCCAGAAGCCAGAGCTCCCTCTGAGATCTGACCTTCCACTCAGATTAAGAGGCTGTGGGAGTGTGGATTCGAAGCAGTCTGTGGTGTTAGCTACAGTTGTGAGAGTCGTCCTCACAGACAGGACCTCCCACTTGCTAGGAAAGCGCTCTACTGCTTGGGTCATGTGCCCAGCCCCCTGGATTTTGCCCTAGTTTGTTTTCAGATAGTTTCACTTTTGCCAGAAATTGGCTTTGGTCTAGGATCCTCCTATACCTGCTGGGTAGCTGAGATTAAGACATGTGCTATCACACCTGGCTGAAAATGGTAAGAGTGGAACTTCGGACAGAGGAAAGTTTGTATGTGTGTGCATTTTGTATGTGTGTGTGCATATGTGTGTGTGCATATGTGTGTGTGGGGGGGGAGGAGGTAGGAAAGGAAGGAGGAAGGAAGATCACGAATGTGTGTGTTGTGGGCTGCTAAATTCTTGATGCAGCACAAAAAAAGACAACATTTGCCTTCGCATGACTCATGGTTTCGGCTTGACAATGGTGACAAACACTCCCACAAACATTTGGTATTTCACCTTCAGTAGTGTCCACTAAGTCCCACGAGCCACACAGTGTGACTTATTATAGAGGGCCTTGTAGTGGGCGACTTCACCCAGCTGTGGCCTAACGTGTTCTGATCACGTTTAAGGTAGCTTCAGCTGTGATGTTTGGTAGCTGAGAATATTATATGGCTTTTTAAAAATGGGGTTTGAACTCAGGGCCTTGTATTTGCTTGACAGGTGCTCTAACCCTTGAGCTGTAACCCCAGCCCTAAATCAAAGCTTTTTTGATTCATGTTGAACAATCAATGTATTACTTATGAATGAAAATTGAACTGAGCATTGGTGGCTCATACCTGTAATGCTAGCTTCTTAGGAGGCTGAGATCTGAAGCTGGTGGTTCATAGCCAGCTCGAGCAGAAAGTCCATGAGACTCTTATTTCCAATAAAGCACCAAAGAACCAGAAGAGGAGCTGTGACCTGAGTGAAAAAAGCTCAGGGATAGTGCCTAAGCCCAGATGGGTTCAAGTCCCAGAACACACACACACATGCACACACACGCACAAGCTACAAAGAGGAGAAGATATTTACAAACCAATGAGGACCTGGCTTCTAGTTGTCTTCCTAAATCTGAGGTTTTTCTTTGCATGGTTTCTGTTACCCACAGTCTAAAAATAATACATGGAAATTTCCAGAAACAAATAGCTCATAAGTTGTAACTCTTACTGCAGCAAAATGTTAAGAATTGCTCCATCTTATTATTAGTTACTGTTGCTAATGTCTCTTTATAAATTAAGTTTATCATGGCTATGCATATGTAGCTATATGCAAATGCATATTGCTCTATAGGAGGAATAATATGCACATTCTAGCACCTGCTGTGCATCTAAGAGAATATCCTCCACAGTTAACGGAGTGTAAAACAGTTACAGAGTGTAAAACCTCGGCCCACCCCTCCCAACAAGAAGCCACGACTGTGTGTTGCACTGGAGATTTTATGGAGGTGGGAAATAAGCACACAAAAAAATATTCAACTTCAAGAATTGCCGGGCGCCGGTGGCTCACACCTGTAATCCTAGCTATTCAGGAGGCTGAGATCTGAGGATCATGGTTCAAAGCCAGCCTGGGCAGGAAAGACAGACTCTTATCTCCAATAAACCACCAGAAAAAAAAAAAAAAAAAAACGGAAGTGGCGCTGTAGCTCAAGTGGTAGAGTGCTAGCCTTGAGCTGAAGAGCTGAGACACAGTGCCCAGGCCAGAGTTCAAGCCCCATGACCCACAAAAAAAAAGAAAAAGAACTACCCAGGTGCCAAGTGCTGGTGGCTCACACCTGTTATCCTATTTATTCAAGAGGCTGAGAGCTGAGGATTTTGGTTCTAAGCCAGCCCGGGTAGGAAAGTCCATGAGATTCTTATCTCCAGATAACTACGAAAAAGCCATAAATGAAGTTGTGGCTTAAGTAGTAGAGCTAAAAAAAAAAAAAAAGACTAGCTGGGCTATGCACATTAAAACCACAATGAGTAATCATTCCCCTGAAAACTGGGGACAGCAACAGACACAGGAGAGACTTTGAAGAAACTGGATTGTTTTTGTTGCTGGTGGGCGTGGGAACTGGTACATTTATTCTGGAAAACTTTCTTCTAAAACTAAGCATGCAAATTACCATCTGCCAAGCAGTGCACTCTTGAATATTTGTCTCAAGAAATGGAAACTATGCTTGCACACAAAACATTTGTAAATGAATGATCATAACAACTTAAACCATACTATGGCAGAGCTAGAACTCACTGGCAGTGTTGAACTAACATTTGGGAGGACTTACTTTTGATCCCCATACACATGCACTCACACACACACACACACACACACACACACAATGGGTTGAGCTGGGTGCCAGTGGCTCAGACCTGTAATCCTAGTCTTGAGCTGAAGAGCTGAGGGACAGCGCCCAGGCCCAGAGTTCAAGCCCCACGACCCACAAAAAAAAAAAAAGAAGAACTGCTGGTGGCTCACATCTGTAATCCTAGTTATTCAAGAGGCTGAGAGCTGAGGATTTTGGTTCTAAGAATTTGAGTGTCTTTTTTTTTTTGGGTCCGGTCGTGGGGCCTGAACTCTGGGCCTGGGCACTGTCCCTCAGCTCTTCAGCTCAAGGCTAGCGCTTTACCACTGTGAGCCACAGCACCACTTTCCGGCTTTTTTCATTTTTGTTTATGTGGTGCTGAGGAATCGAACTTTTTTTGTTTATGTGGTGCTGAGGAATCGAACCCAGGGCCTCAGGCATGCAAGGCAAGCACTTCTACCACTGAGCGAACTTCCCAGCCCTTGAGTGTCATTTTTTAAAACTTGTTTTTATCTTTATGTGTGTGTGGGGGGGAGGGCACAGATGTAGGACTTGGACTTGGGGCCTGGGTGCTGTCCCTGAATTTTTTGCTCAAAGCTAGTGCTTTATCACTTTGAGCCACAGCACCACTTCTGGTTTTCCCGTTGCTAATTGGAGATAAGAGTTTCACAGTCTTTCCTGCCTGGCTGGCTTTGAACTGAGATCCTCAGTTCTCAGCCTCCTGAGTAGCTAGGATGACAGGTGTGAGCCTTTTTTCTTTGCCTCTTTTGAAGGTAGGGTCTTGCTGTGTAACCCAGGCTGGTCTGGAACTCCCATCCTCCTACCTCAGCCTCCCTAGGGTTTGCGTTCCTGTGTACCATGCTGTGTATCATTCTATTTTCAGCACAGGACTTTTGTCTCTTTTTCTTTTTGTTGGTTGTCGGACTTGAACTCTGGGCCTGGGCGCTGTCCCTCAGCTCTTCAGCTCAAGGCTAGCACTCTACCACTTGAGCCTCAGCACCACTTCTGGCTTTTTCTGCTTATGTGGTGCTGAGGAATCGAACCCAGGGCCTCATGCATGCAAGGTAAGCACTCTACCACTGAGCCACCTTCCCAGCCCCAATGTTTTCATTTTCTAAAGGTTAAAACAACTAAGTTTATCTGAAAGGAAAAGGAACA